CCACTGAGCAACAGAAAAGAGAAATCAGCTCCCCGACAATCATCTTCAATCCTCGAGAGGATGTTGTCCAATTTACGAGAACACCGCCCGCCATACCAGCCAGACCACCGGTTACACAACCGCCAGTGAAGGCGAGGCCAGCATCTCCAGAAGAAGGTTTTCAGCTTCCATGGTACCGATAAGTTACCTGCGAATCGTAATTAAGAATCAGAGACTGAGGTAGGAAAATCCTTTAAAGTATGTTAATAGAAATAGTTACTCCATAGGGATTAAACAACTAAGGAATAAAAGTAGTAAACAAAAGGACATTCTTACGCCATAGCTCGTAGACAGAAGACACTTTAGAATTTAAGAAATCACCAACATACACTTGGGTTACACATTACGGCATTAGATTAAGGAAAGAAGGTACACAAAATGGGATAGTAATAAGGAATGAAAAAAAAAAACATTTATATATAGGAAAAAAAAATTTGAATACTTACCCTTAATCCAAAGTCCCAGCAAATGAAATTTTTCCTCTAAACGACAGGAAAAGCTAAACAAATTACGGGAGACACCCCCCGAAGAAACGATAAAATAATAATAACAGGCGTAAGACAACGACCACATACCAAAATTATTCTTACTCTGTTATCACATAACATTCATTACAGCACATTCATTCTCGCAATTTTCTCATAAAATAACAGATACTAAAAAAAAAAAAAGAGTTAAACCCTCGTTCCGTGGGGCACATCTCGGCTTTCGGCATTCGGAAGCCGAGAATTAATCTCCAGAAATGACAATTTTCCCTTCCGATCCATCTCCCTTACCCACACCCCTCCTGCCCTCCTGGAACAAAGGACCGACCATCCCTCGGGACTCACAATTTCCCGAGCCCGATCCGGGCAGAAAGAAAACCGCCAGAGGAAAAAAGACCATGACTGTCGCTGGGAAAACGAAGAAAAAAACAAAATACGTGAAAGAACGGAAAAGTCTCGAAAACACTCAACGTCCGAGACACAACAACCACTCATACCAAAAGCTCACCAAACACGCGCAGCACACGATCATGCAGAACACGTCTCAGGAAAATCACACCGATATCCCTGAAGGAGTGAAACACCAAAGACTACCGAGAAACCAGGTAGATAGCCGACAACTACCCCCAGCTGTCAGCCATACCGATGACCACCACCGCTGGCGCTTCTCAAACAGCCGATCAGGTCGCACGACATATCCCAGCTGGAAACCTCGGAAACCAACAATACCGAGCACCCCAGAAGAGCTCCAAGCTCCATCAAGGGCCAATACAAAAAAAACAAAACCTATCATACCACGATTTTCCTCAACAGATTCCGACAGCCGAGGTCTAACACACGGAGGGAGTGGAAAAAATAAAAGACAAAAGACAAAACTAATCAAGTCCATATAACCCACTATATATTCCAAAAACAAAAGAGGGGGGTGGGGTACACCACAAGATAAAAATAATAATTATTATTATCAAAATAATAATAATAATCTCACAAATCCTTTAGGCGCCATTCCTGAAAAAAAACACAAAGAAAGGTGAGGAGACTATAAAAAAAAAAAAAAAAACCTCACCTCCGGTACTCAATGAGGATTGCACCCGCAACTTCTTGCAACTCCGACCGGCGAGCGCGCCAAAAGGCCCACACCGACCCGAACTCCTCAGGCCAAACCCCGCCCAACTCCCACAACCAGCGATCCGCCTCCTACCCTCTACCTTTTAGAAAGTCAGAATTCTGAAAAAAAAAAAAAACGGTAACGAAAACTAAATGCGAAGCAAACAATACACGCAACCAACAACAAAAATAACTACTCACCGAAACACCCATATCGCCACACCTCGCACCCTTGAGCAGATGCGCGAGGAGGGACGGCACCTCCACCGACATCCTCTCGGCCGCCCTTTCGAAAATCAGGGCCCAAAGGACCTTGCCTCCCTGCGCCCTAATGACCCCCTCGCCCCACCGCTGTAGGACCTCGAGGCCGCCAACATCCGGAAATAATTCCATCCTAGAATAGGAAGAAGAATAATTAAGAAAAAAAAAAAAATATATATATATATATATATATGTAACTGAGAGGATTTATCAATGCGGAATAAAACAACCACTGTAGTTCACCACCATCTGAAATAAAATGCCGAACACAATTTTTTAATGATAAAAAAATTGAAATAATCTCTTAAGAATTCATTGAATATATATTTTAAAAATCATTAAGAAAATAATACATGACGATGTGAAGAAAAACATATGATAATGATGAAAAATAATCTTTTACATAATTTCATCCATGTTATATATATATAAAAAAAAAGCGGAAAAATGATAAAACATGATAATACAAAAGAAAAAAATAATTTCACAAGAGTTCATTCGTGACAGTCCAGTTTTCACTCAAAAATATCATTGAAATCACTTTGATCAGTCCCGATACGATGATAATAACATTTGAACCATTCAGACAATCCATACGCATTCGCGAGAGCACAACAGACGGACTCATCAGGTGTTTTGAAATTCTGATGCACTTTGGAATGTGGGCAGTCCTTGATGTAAAAATTGGAAATGTTTGGACAATTGTAGTCATCCAAATTGATGATTTTGTAAAAATCCCCCAGTGATAATTGTTGCAGGTATTTCACTTTTTCTAATCCTTTAACGTAAATTTTCATCACACTTTTATTCAGAAAACTTTGAAAAACTTTTTCAATGTCATCATAATCACATTCACCAATTTCCCACAATATTCCATGATAATTATGTGTGAGCCATCTGTTGGTTCGGACATCCATAGCCTCGAGATCAGTCCAAGCGCACGGTGGGCGAAATACAATGTGTTGAGTGAAACTCGCCTCAATATCCGATGATGATTGCACTGCCACAACACCCAACTCTTTCAAAACAAAATTCCCGTTTCTGCGGAACCCTTGTAGATCAATGATCAATTCCATGATATCACTACTTTTACTTATAAATTTCTAAAAGACTCAATAAAGTCAAGCAGCATGTAAGCTCCTTCCAAAGCGGTATCAGTGCCGTGCTCGCTCAAGACAGTCACCACATCATCGTCTGCTCCACCGTTCTCCAAGCCCCTCACTGGCTGCCCTTTCCCACCACTGGCTTGCTCCATCTCTTTCATCTCCTCCAACGTTTCTATATCTGCACTGCCCTCCAGCCCATTGGATGACTCACATATTGGGTTGTCTTCATCCTCCGATGAACTGCTATCTTTGTCAGCACACTTTTCTGCTAAAGCCCCTTTAATGAAGATGAAAAAATCATTGTTTTTCATGAGGATCGTGCGGACACCAACTAGTGAGAGATGAACATCAGTAATACCATCCGTTGCTTGCACCGCTTTTTCAGTATGATAGATCAGCGTAGGCACTGGAAGTTGCATGAACCATTCCAAGGGGATGTAGACATTGTGTAGGAGACAATAATAGGAGGTGTCTGCATCAGCTGCTCCTGCTGCATCATCAAACGATTGATAAGTCTGGTCCCACATAAAAAAAGATATTGGTTCTGACATCTTCAAAATGTTGATTCATAAAATTTTTAATTGTAGTCGTCAATTTGGGGAAAATGAATGATAATAATTATCGAGTGGTATTATTGAAATTCAAGAGAGTACTGGTGAGGTTTTATATTGGAGACTCTGAGCAGTGATCTCACTGGAGGAGGGGATTGTTCTTTCGGAGAACTCGTGGTAGCATGAAGACTCTGTATACACTACCAACGTTTATATTGATACAGAGGGCACTCTACTATTGGTGGAGGAATTGAACTGCTTGAAGACCCTGCCAAAGCGGGCCAATGAGTGCGACAATAACGTAGACGTGCAATGCTTGGATCCTTCTTCATGCTCTCTGATAACTTCTCCCAAGCTGCATCCACAGTGGCTTTGGCAACAGTTTTTATAAAACATTTTGGAAGAAAAGAAATTTCCTCACTCGTCAAAGAATTTAAATGTCCAGTCTGACAATACTTTGTCAATGATTTCTCCAAGCACCCAGCATCGTACTTGGTAAACCACTTCTTCAAACGTTGCACATTGACCACTGCACAATGAAAATTAATAGGACCTCCATTAAAAAGACTATGATGATAGACACACTTTGTTTCCACCTCCACATTCTCCAATACCGGACAACCAAAATCATCCAAATCAGTGATAGGTATTGCATTCTTGAGAATCTTCTCTAGCCAATTTTTCTTCTCCAGACCTTGAACGTAGATGTGTTTAACATCCTTCACCATAGCATTGATAAACTCACTCACTCTATCATACTCAATTTCTCCAGGAGTATCCCAATGTAGCCCATGATAATGACGGGACAACCACTGATTCATTTCCCGATATTTAAGCAATAAATCCTCCCATTTGTGGGGTGGATCCACCAAAACTGACTCATGAAGAAATTTTCCATCATCATCAAGCTCCAATGCTGATACTGCAAATTCTTTCAAGACAAACTGGTTGCCAAAATCTTTGAAACCCTCGATATCAATAACCACCGCCATGTTGCTATGATTCAATTGTAAAAGTAACTGAGAACTTTGCTCAGTCTTCTTGTTTCATCATCACCGCCCCTCCCTGGTTTTTAGCATGAGAGGTAGTGGACTTGGTGTCTGCATACTGTCTTGGAAATGTTACTTCAATAATTTTGTTATTGTCTGGACAAATTACATGATCTGCTCTCGAGATTCCAGGGAGAGATGTCAAACATAGCTGGACAATTTCGTTGGTGTTAGCACAGTAACGGTTTTCATTGAATGCCCTCGCATCAACAAGAGTCTGTGAAATTTCGCGAATTATTTTTCCGTTGGAGTCCTCGGAAGAAAAAATTTGTCTGGAGGTTTGGTAAGATCAAATGGTCATGTATTCATAATATTAATCCAATAACCGTTACGATACGATGATGACGTTTCTTCAAAGTTTGGTTTATATTTCGTGGCATGATGCAATAACCGTTGAACAAAATGGCGTTTGAGAGGAGGGGTAATACCAACGTCTCCATCGGTAGGCTAGTATGTTCTTCGGTTTTTATCCGAAGTCTCCCTACCTCCTCGATTAAAAAAGTATGAATAATCAGATGGTGGCAGTCAACCCGAAGATGACGCTTTCGTTATGAAGACCCCGTCAGTCAGTTTTATAAACCCCATGCTCGCACAGTGCAGGACATTTTAGATTCAGTGAGTCAAGTGCAAAGAGTTCTACTGCTATGTCTAGTGTTGGTGGATCTCCAACTGAGCAAGTTTCGACTTTGGAGATAATTACAATTCGTAATTTTGTGGATAACGTGAGGAGTTCTGAAAAAATGAAAAGAGATGTGCCACTGAGAGTGATGGGATCAGTGCACTCTTCCAATTCAGAAAATGAGTACGATAGTTTAACTAATGAGTAGTTTGTACCTGGTGTGGTGGATTTTTCTGCAACTTCATCTGAGGCCGGAGATCCTGAGGGCACCTCCGAAGTAGAGACATCAGATGGGGAGGCATCGGACCAGAAGGAGACATCAGATGGGGACTTACCTGTGAATGTTTCATCTGGAAGTTCTACTCCATTGCTTTTGGACACATCACAATCAACAATTGTTCCAGACTCAACAACTGATGTGTCAATCGAAAAGCCTGTGGTTATTGACATGCCATCTGACAATATTAATTCTGTCGAGGAGAAAGTTGACAATATTCCCGACTCACCAGAGCCAGCAGAGGAGGATGTTATCAACATTCCCGACTCACCGGAGAGTCCCAAGCCAGCAGAGGAGGATATTATCAGCATTCCCGACTCACCAGAGAGTCCCGAGCCAGCAGAGAAGAGTATTTTGAATGTTCTCGATTCACCAGAGAGCCCCGCACCAACAGAGAAGGGTATTTTGAATATTCCCGACTCACTGGGGAGTCCCGAACCAGCAGAGAAGGGGATTTTGAATATTCCCGACTCACCGGAGAGTCCCGAACCAGCAGAGAAGGGTATTTTAAATATTCCCGACTCACCGAAGAGTCCGGAGGAGGATATTCTGATCATTGATGAGTCATCAGAGAGTCCAAAGCCAGCTGAAGACTATTTTACGGTGCCCGAGACATCGGTGATCATCTCAGAAAAACATCAACCTATGGACGTAGATTCATCGGAGGTGTTGGTATCAGATACCAGAAGTGATGAGTCAGCATCATACAGTCCAGCACGATCATCAGATGACTAGAACGATGATAATGATGATGATGAGCAACTGCGTGTTTTCGTGCCAGAGGAATGGAAGAGTCAATTGTCTGAGAGACTCATGAAGAAAAAACTGAGAGCTATTATCAACAAACACTTCAAAATTGGTGGTACTTTCCTCACGCTTAGAGGTGTACGAACTAAATTGATCTTCTGTCCTCACGGCAATGTATTTTTCAAGCCAATGAGAGCCCACAAACGACCTGAACGATTGCCCGCAAACTTCGAAATTCATCCAATTGTAAGTATTA